TTCAGTGGCTATTATGTGGTGGAACTTACACCACGTGCTCGTGATTATACGGCGTTTGTTACGCCGTTCGGCAAGTTCCGCTATACAGTGATGCCATTCGGTATCACCAATGCGCCCCCCGTTTATGCTCTACTCAATCAGCGAACTTTTGGTCCACTCATTGGGACTGAGGTGGAAATGTTCTTTGACGATTGTGGAGTTGGCTCGGACAGTTTTGAGGATCACATGAGCACGCTTGAGAAGTGTTTTCAATGTTACAAAAGAGCAGGGATGAGTTTGAATCCGAAAAAATGCAATTTTCTGCAGAGTTCCATCGTATTCCTTGGCCATTTGGTCAGTGCAAGGGGTCTGGAACCTGAGCCAGGAAAGATCGAAAAGATAAAGACATGGGAAAGGCCACATGACACCTTGAGTGTCCAGAGATTTCTTGGTTTTGTGAACTACTACAGGAGGTTTATTAAGGGGTTTGCAAAACGCGCACAACCTTTGCGCGTTTTGACACACAAGGGAGCTGGGTTCGAATGGGGGGATGCACAGCAGGGCGCATTTGACGATCTACGCGAAGCACTAATGACATCTCCAGTGATGACCGTACCACGTTTTGACAAGGATTTTCTGTTGCATACCGATGCATCAGATGCGTGTTTGGGAGCGGAGCTCAGCCAACTGGGATCAGACGGGTTGCCACACCCCGTATACTATTTGAGCAAGGCGCTGACGAGGGCAGAGAAAAATTATGGTGTGACTGAGAAAGAACTGATGGCTATGGTTGTGGCTTTCAAAAGGCTCAGACATTACCTTCTGGGGCGGCACACTACTGTCTACACAGACCATGCTCCTCTGAAGGGACTGTTAAGGCATCCCGAAATGGCGTCATCAAGGGTAGCACGATGGTGCACGATTCTTGCAGAATACGACTTTGAGATCGTGTACCGGCCTGGGAAGCTGAACAAAAACGCTGATGCTCTCTCGAGGTTACCCAGAGTTCAGGGAAAGGAAGATGCCTTCAATGGAGATCTGGATGTGATGATTGTGGTGCCTGGCAGTGACGAATGGTATGACGACATGCAGAAGTACATCACAACTGGAGATTTTCGACCAGAAATACCAGAAAAAGATCAGAAGTTCATCAAGCGTCGGGCTGACCGTTTCGCAGTTATGCATGGGAAGCTATACCACAAGAATTCTGTGGGCGATCCGCAACTTGTGGTACATCAAGAGGACAGAAAGCGTGTCCTCAGTGGCGTTCATGATGATGCGGGCCACTACGGTGCACGCATGACTCTGACGCAGCTGATGAGGATGTATTGGTGGCCTACTATGGCAAGAGACGTCAGTGACAGTGTCAAAGCCTGTGAAGCCTGTCAGAAGTATGGCCCAAATGTGATCCCAGCGAAATCAGAAACATGGTTGGTACTGGAGCCGTTTGAAGTTATTGCATGGGACTTTATGGGCCCGTTCACACCAGTGGGTGACTACAGGTATTTGCTAGTCGTTGTAGACTATGCAACGCGGTGGTGTGAAGTTACACCAGTTGCGGCTGCGGATCACCATCACGTTATGATCATGCTGAGTGCAATTTGCGCCCGATTTGGCATCCCCAGAATCTGCCTTTCTGACCGGGGAATGGCATTTAAGGAGCGACATCTTCGACAGATGGCACGTGATCTTGGGGTAGCATGGGTCTATTCACCAGCCTATTCGCCTAAAAGCAACGGACTGGTTGAGCGCACAAATCGTGAGTTGTTGGATCGCTTGAGGAGGCTAACTGATGGACACAGCGAACTGTGGATGCGCGAGTTGGGGCGCGCAGTTCTGGCTGTCAACTCCCGGATTGTTGAGTCAATGAAGTGCTCTCCTTTCGAAGCTTTGATGGGGTATACACCAAAGCGAACACATGAGGTGGCAGTACCGGTACACAGAGTGGAATCGCTAGTGGAGGGCTGGAGAAAACCAGAGTCTGAAGAATTGCGGCAGAGAATCGACGAACTGCAATTGCGCCGTGATGGGATTGATGCAAATCGAGCGGCTGTGATGAAGGGAAGAGAAGAAGCCACCAAAACCGTGCGCAAGGTTCAGTTCAAACTGGGTCAAAAAGTGTGGTTACGCAATACGGTGAGGTTCAAGCAGCATGGCCGGAAATTAGACGCTCACTGGCTTGGACCTTATCGCATTTTGCGTCGCCTCTCTGATCAGAGGTACGAGATTGATCGGAAAGCACGAGGCGCTGATTCGGAAGAAGTCCATGTTGATCGTCTCAAGGAGTTCATCGAACAGAAAGTATAAAAACGACAGTGATGGCAAGACCGCGATGATCTGTGTGAATAAAGTGTACGCAAGGATTCTACATCGGCTTGATAATTGAAGTAAAGGGGTATGAAAAGGGCTGGATGGCATATGATTATTGTAACGTTGTGGATTCAAGAATGCGACGAGATATTATGTTCAAGTCAACTGAGATGATGGTGTTTTGAATGCACGTGGAAAATCGCAACGAGGGCGTTCGCGATTGAGAGTAATGGGGCTGTATGTTACGGCTAGAACTGATTGAGTGTTATTAATAACTGAATGTATGAAGAGATGACGAAGCACTAAGGATTGCATTAGGGATGTTGATGAACGGACTGGGTATAAAGGACAGAACGTCTGTTGTCCTTTTGCCTCGGCTGTAAACCGTTGCCGTGGACTCGAGCGTATAATTCCCGTTCAGGGATCGCCACCCCTCGACCCTGCCTGCCTTCGTCAGTGTCACCAGGTTTGCAGCCATCCCACCAGCAGAAACCAATGGACAGGATAATTGGTCCCATTTGCACACCGACCACATTTTTTCGGCGTTCCAAGGATGCCACCCATTGCAATTTTGGCGCCCTTGAAAGCGATAGGCTTTGGGCAGATCCCCAGCACTAGCAAAAAAAGGAATAAATAACACTTTTACGAGCATGCATAAAACACATTTCATCAAATTTCTGCACGCTAAGGGCACAAAAATAGCACAAACCCGTAAACTTTGTACACGTTTGAACACGTGCTATTTGGCCCTTTTTCCCCTATTGCAGCCGGCCGCACAGCCTGCCCATCAAGGTGCCGAACCGTGTTGACTCTGGTGGCCTCTCTGTTCCTGCTGGCCAAAATGGGAAGGGCGCCCCTCCCCCACGGAGAACAGCCGTCTGTTCCCCAGTCCTTGCACGGCGTATCAATTACTGGCTTCACCAAATCCCCCCAAAAATGAAGTAACCTAAACCCCTAAAAACTAAAAACTAAACCTAACCTCTAAAATAACCCTAATTAGGGTTAATTTATAACGTTTTAGCCTACCCCAGTCCTAACCCTAACCATAAATCTCATCCTAACCCCAAACCTAACCCTAAAACTGCAGTTAGGACATTGTGTGCACGTGATTTGGTGCAAGCAGTCGCCGATTCGGTGCAGGCAGTGCTATTATTTCTCCTTGCACTGTGCTAGACCGATACCTTGCTCACATGCCACACGATGGATCCTCCAGGCAGGCTTGGTTCTTACACAGTAAAACTGATCGTATTTACGTTTTCATGCATAAGAATAGTTTTACGATTTTACACGTAAAAATGCGTAAAAATACGTGAATACAACGTAAAACTGTCCGGTGTACATAAGGCCAGTACATACAGATTTATGGAGTCCAGAGAGTGGCAGCCAGACGCCCTGCAAGGGGCAGAAAACGAGATTTTGTTAAACGCCATTATCGCCCTTGCCAAGGGCGAGGTGGGCATTGTGTGGAGATGATGGAGGACTGATTATAATATGGAACTTTCATCATGTAACCTGGGTGTCCCAGGGAGCCGTAAACACGTAAAAATAGCCGTAAAGATAGGCCCTTTTGCAAATTTACGTTTTTATGCGTAAAAATTTAAAAGCAAAAACGTAAACGTAAACGTAAAAACCAAGCCTGAGCACCGGTGTACAATGCACACATCCATACTATGCAAGCGTGCAAGTAATCAAGCACAAGCACACGTCTGGTGACTAATGCGTATTCTGCAGGCGATTCCCGCACCGGTTGACAAAGGCCGTTGGCGCTGCGCACCAGCAGCTGCGCAGCGCCAACGGCCTCTGTCAACCGGTGCGGGAATCGCCTGCAGAATACGCATGCGAGGGGGTTCGGCCAGGCGTTCGCTCTTGAGGCCAAACCTTGGTACCAATTCAATGAACTGGTTGAGGCTCCATGATTGGGAACTAGAGCGTCATTACATAAAATTTGGCAAGGTGAACTAATTAGTTCACGCTGCCGTGTGTTCTAGTTGGACCACCATCGACTTCAACCGAAAGGGAGAGCAAACGATATATATCGATTTACGTACTGCAAACATCAGGCATCCATGACCAAGGAATCTGGGTTTGGTGTCAGATTGCTAGGCTGAATTCAGCAAGGGAAAAATAAGAGGCAATGCTACTGAAGCGGGCCCGGCAGTTGTCATTAACGAATTAAACATCATATCGGTAGCCAACAATCATCAAGTTTCACGAAGTGTGCTTTCAGCAACCAATCAGTCAGTGACACTGGCTCCGAATTCGTCAAAGCGCGCACATCACCAAATGGTTACATTTTTCGGCATTTCGTTTGGGACATTTGAGACGCTTGCATCTGTTTCAATCATCTGTTGGAATCGAGAGCCGTGCCCCCGTCCAGCCAATTATTTGACGTCCTGCCAGCAATGTACACTTGAATTCAATCTGCATCAAATTTTAACACGGATCCATCCATCGTGCCCACAAAAGCAGCCACCCTGCTGACTAAAGTATCAAAAACACCTATCCCTACAACTCTGCTAGTCCACATTACCTGTCCACGTCCTACCTCCCTCGCCACCAGCTCGCACACCCTGGCAACCTGTCCCCGCATAACAAAGCAGCAGCCCCGGCAACAACCACTGGCACGCGCCCATCCTAAACTATACGATGCAATGGAGAGCTGAGTGGCACTGAAGGAACCAAGCCTTTGTTCACAATCCCATGCACTCATCCTAAAGTATAGGATGCTTTGGAGACCTGAGTGGCACATGGGCCACAAACAACCATCGAAGGTAACCAGGCCTTTGTTCACAATCCCAAGGACATCCACATGCCTTCATGTCGTGTCCCAATATGGCACGCAACGAAATGCAGCCCAACTCAAAGCGGCAAGACGAGAAGCGACGCAAAAGGGTTCTGTCCAACGCATTTCCTGTCCACCCCACGGGTCCCTCCCGGCGAAGCCCTTTGCTCTTTCGCCTCTGAGGCACACGATCCAAAGAACCGACCTCCGCACTGCCAAACTGCCCATGCGCACCCGCTACGCAGTGTGCCCATGCCACAAACCATACCATATGCCTCAAACCAGTGCCCTATTGGCACAACCCCCTGGGGCCATCCTGGCCATCCAGTTTAGGCGCTTTCCAGGAACTTTGAAGATCCTTTACAGGCAACAGTGTCACCCTTTTGTAGGTTTCAGCCTCCTTTGATGCTTCCACAGGTTGCCGCCTGCCCCTGGTATCTCACAAACCCCAGCCGCCCCCCAAAGTCCTGAGAAGCCCTAGCCCCCCTTTTGTCCCTTTCTCAGGTCGTCTGACCTGTCCTGGGGTATGCAGTGCACCTCCAGCACTGACTTAGTGGCCGCCCGTGCCGCCTTGGCCTCGAGGACCACCTTCTGATTGTAGTCCAGGTCGAAGTGCAGGTACTTGTCCTTGCACTTGTCCACCAGGTTCACCAGAGTCCGCATGCTGTGGATCTCCTGCCCGTTCAAGGCGATGACCTGTAGTCCATGCACAGAGGACAGCACTAAGACCATTGCATGTGAAGCGAGTCACACAACACGCATATTTCAGGGGTCACAAGAAAACATTGTGCTGGGTCAGTGGCATGTGCGCCCGAAGGCTGTGCTTTCAAGCAGCAAGTCTATCCATTCCATTCGTTTGAAGAGACACGATGCCACAACCGTAACTCCAATACATAGTCACGAATTAATGCATCAGCAGGATAGTATCCTGTAATATCGCATACTCCATAGAATATCCTGTACGTAGGATCCATATAAAGGGCAGTAGCCTGTGTACTGCAGACGATGGAATTGACTCATGCATCCTTTTGCTTACAACTCATGATCAAAAAGTTCACCCGTCATGAATGGGATTAGAAGGTGCATAGCAACAGGAAAATGGTTGTCATGTAGTGCGCATCCCTCACGAGAGGCATTGCTCTGCAATATGCAGGAGAATACAGAAGTCGCCATCGGCAACGAAAAATAAAATCATGGGTGTCCATTGCATGACGTGGTTGCCACTGTTGCAGCTTGGGTTGGAATGTATGCAACTACCCATTCCTTGCTGTATTATTAGTCTTTTGTAGAAGGGACAACTGCCTAAAGTTACCCATCCACAATGTGATGATGCACCTGATTGCCATTAGGCAACAGATTCGAAAGAGAATTTGTCAACAAGCGCCTTTCTTACATTTTCATGTGACATAAAAGCATTTCTATCCATAAACAGCTTTAATTTCTGTCCATAACCTTCCCGAACATTCCAAGCTCACGAGCTCGAGGCGATGAGAGCTGGCCTGGAAACAGAAACGAACCTGGGTGTTGACGATGTCCTCATAGCCGATGCTGAGATCCGCAGCCAGGACTTGACTCAACACCACGATCTGCTGGCCCTCCTGGTTGGCCATAGAATGAAGCATTCTATCCAGCAGCTTGACAGGAGCATCAAAGTCATATTCCTTCCCATACTCTGACCTGGTGCCAACACAAGAAACAAGAAGAACATCAATGGATACAGGCAATCAAAGGTAGGTTGATGTCAAGCGATGGTGGAGCAAAGATTTGGCAGCACGTTGACAAAGTTTCGCTTCCGGCAGTCACCCCCCCCCAGGTTGGCACATCCAAATTATGATGGCAACACACCCTGCAAGTAAATGCCAAAAGTGCTCTGCACAAAGCAAGACCAGATCTCAAATTTGAACTGGATCCAAAGGACACAGGGAACAAAAGCAAACAGCACAGTGTCTGTGGACAGTTGCACGAAAATATTTGGTGTTGCAATTAGTGAGTTGGGCCCCAGGCCATGGCTTCCTTGGGATAAAACATCGGCTCTTCCAATTGCAAAGTGTGCTATGTATCTGTTGCAATGGCTGGGGGCTTGCTAAACACAACATCATGCTGCAGGGCAATGACAACTTTGGTGCAAGAACACTTCCCTAACACAATCGACAGTGACAGTCCCCATAATTCGACAGGAAGAAAATCAGGTGAATGGGCAGGACCTTCCTGATTCCGATATGTGACAATTCATAACACACCGCTTGTGCAAGGGGTGGTGCTTCGATTCCAATATGATGGAACAGCACTGAATGTGGAGTGACGTTCATGACCTAGGAAAGAGATCATATTCGGCACAAGAACAGTGACAGCCGTGCAACCTTGAAGGAGTAATCTACAGAACAGGGACTGGCACAAACCATGCTCTGATACATAGCCAACTTTGTCAGGGGCAAGGCAACCTACCCAAAGGCACAGCAGCATCCAGCCCAAAGCACAAAGTACGGCACCCAGCTCTTAAATACACCAAGCACTCAGCATCCAAAGCGCCAACACCTCTAATGGCTAAAGGCAGAATTCAAGTGCAGAACTTTGCATTTCAGCGACATCTGCTGACCTTAAGTACGGCACGGTGACTGGTGTGAACACCAGACCCCCCACAATGAAATAGGAGGGTGGCTTCCCACTGACGTGCACTGGTATGAGGCGGTAGGGCGCATGCAGCTGGATGTTCACGCTGACCCGTTGGCCGCCCTTCTTCAACAGCACCACCTCCACCTCGTCGCCTATATACTTCTGTGACACCAGGTACGTGAACCCAATGCGCTCACCACTGCAAACAGGAATGGGAAGGAGTCAGTCCATTGCTTGCTTGCTGAAAAGCAGCAAAGCCAGATTTTGCCAGCAGGTGTCGATCCATCGATTGTGCCTGTCCAACAGTGACAGGGCTAGAGTATCCAACTGGAGGACTCAGCACATTGACTGCATTTGACAACAGGGAAAAAGTCACTGCCATTTTACGACAAAAACACACACAGCACAGCGCTCCCCTTGCTCTCTTCTGGTGATAAAGGACATGATCCTCCATAACAAAGATTCAAGAATGCCATAAAGCAACACCAAACTTCATTCAGTGACCACGACTCACAAGACCATAAAAACTTGTGTTTCATTCTCAAGCCGCTGATTTTTTGATTCCACACCTGCGAAAGGGCACTGTGCCATCATTGGCGATGTCAACCCCATCAAAGCTCATCAGGATGTCATACTGGTCAATGTGTTTTGAGGCAGGGGAGGTGGGCTCTACCCGCCGCACCAGCACACCCTTTTGGCCGTGGCTCATGCCAAGGCCTTCCCGCAGATGTGGGTTCTCCATCTTCTGCCACTCGATGCCCAGGCAGGGGAAGCCCATATACCTGCTGGAGCAGTTCTGGGTTCAGTTGTGAGCCAGTCACAGGTCAGTGAGGCGCTAGTCAAAGGTAACCAATTCATGCACAATGGCTCAAAAGTGGGTGCTGAACATAGCGCAATTGGTGACCGAAGAGTTGGTGCTGCACGTGTGATGTGGCAGTTTGAACAGCCAACAATCCCACCTGCCACTTGAATTGACCTTCCTTGAATCTACCGTGTCCAGCAATGCGAGAATCATGCCCTATTTGAAGGTGGTGAGGTTCTGAAGTGCACCATGGTCGATGCACACTTGGGGCTGTTATGTTTGACAAAACATTGTCTTTGTGCAAATCGATCAGCATAAGTTGCCCTGCATCGCTATGCCTTTGCCTGCTGTCCACTAACATGCAGAAGTTCTGTTCTCCAACAGAACATTACAGTGAACCAAGTATGAACACAAAACAGAGAAGCAGACAAAGGCAGACAAAATAGACAAGCCGACAAAACTCAGCAAACCTACGATGAAGAACGGCCAAAATCCCATACCTGCAATTTCGCTCAAAGTCAGTGATGAAGTGGTCGATGACCGGTGTGGGAATAATGTACCCCACGTTCTCCACATCCTCGCTCTTCAGGCTCTGGAATGCAATCCCCACGCATTCTCCTCCCTCATTGAAAGCAGGCCCCCCGCTGTTCCCCGCATTGATGGCCGCATCGATCTGCACCCCCAGCAAATCCGACGCGCCATGCGTGTAGGGCGTGACCTCTATCCGCGACACCACGCCACTGGATACTGACATAGTGTCCCCACCAATCGGGTAGCCGATCACAGTGACAGCATCCTGGAGCTGCGGCAGGCCTCCAAACTCGACGGGTTGGAGGCCATCCCAGAACTCCTCGTCGTCGACGCGCAGCATGGCGATGTCACACTCGGGGCCCACGGCCATGGTGTGGGCAACATACTTGCTGTCAGAGCCACGCCTCTTGACCTTGACCTAGGGCAACATGCAGGGCAAAGTACAGGGCTTCAGATGCCTGGTTTGGGCGAGTATAGGGAAGTAGACAAGGGCAGAGCACTCTGAACACTGGTCCAAGACCTGCATGGTGTTCTTGTTGACTTGAATCAGCAGCAGTGTGAATAGAGTCGGTGCTGAGCACAGTTTCCACATTGAGTGTCTTCACCATACTATTACATGTAGTCATTCTATCTTTAATTTCGCTGCCATGCTTGATGTGCACTACGTCAAAATATATCAATCTCCTGACGTAAATGAGATCAGAGTCACAAAACCCGATGCAACATGGAAAAAACATGCATCAGAGGACCATTCTGGCTTCAGTGTTCACGTCAATTTTCAGATTTAGTCCCAACTTTCCTGCCGTTCTGAGCGAAATCCACATTCTCCTCTCTGGCACAGTCTCATGGCAAGGTACATTGCTCATCAGAGCGTTGCAGCTGTGTGGCATGCTCTCCTTTATGTTGGGAAGGCAATCGCACACCAACACAGGATCAGTGATGGACTGAGCTACTGCTACTTCGCTGTGACACGTGGCTGAGGGATTCCCTGTTTTAGAAACAGAGGAACATGTCATACAATAGACAACCCCTCCTTGAGCAGGGACAGGTGAGACTGTTTCGCACAGGGAGAGACGATCTACAATCTCATATGGCACAAGGAGAACACAAGACATTGCATCACCGGTGGCAATCATGTCATGTGGATGGGACCCTATATGGGGCTGCATTTGCCAGAACATGACAGGCTCTTGCAACCGCAAGGTGCCAAAGCAGTGAAGGGAATCCAACAACACCTCAATGGCAATCCATCCCTTATACTTGGTTAAGGTGTGAAATGCTGGTCTTTTGAGACGATGGGTTGTGGGCGTGCACAACATAAATGATCCTTATGGATTCTTGTTGTGGTGGTCATGAGCACAGCGTGAATGCAAGCATGAGTCCTGATGTCCTGCCCGATGACATTCGATGCTTTTCAAACCTTCTCTTCCATTGAGGGCACCAGGCCACCCCAAAATGCAAAAAAACGATAACAGCGGCCGTGGTATCCCACAGGGGGAATTAAATAATCCAAACCAACCACCCCGTGAGAGGAATGGAGAAGAGCATGGGTATGTTCGCCTGTGTTCAGCAGACTCCCAACGACCCAGTGTTCACTGCTTTGTATGTATAACAGGCTACAACTGTGCTCATGGTGTCCCTCAAGCTGTGTTACAATTCCACAACTAGAGGTAGGCAAACATTGCCTCTGGGATTGTGCAAGTCAACAACTCCGATTCCTAGCTGAAGTTGCAGCTTGGGGGGCTTTCATCAGTTATCAAGCACAATCTGGCAGCCATGAACAGACAAGCCCCGAGATGTACATTGTGCCCGATCCAGCCAATAAGTAACTTGGCCATGGGTGGGGGGGCCCCCAGCAATTTCCCCAGCTGAACATTAGAATTGCTGCCATACCATTAGAACAGCGTTGCTGACAACCACCTTGAGGCAAATGTCGTTAGAGTCCTGGCCCAATGGTTGTGGAGACATATCACCTTGCCAAAATTTGTATCTTTGCCCTGTGGACTGTTACTGTTTCAAGTGATGGAAATAAGTCAAGGAATGGACAACTGCGCCCAGGGCTTCCATCCTTTCAAGTTTCCAGGACGGAATCCCTTTCACTAAAAGTTTCAGACTACTAGAAAAAGCTGCCAACAGATGATCGAAACTCGTTAGAGCCATGTGTAATGGCCAGCATGATGTTTTCAGGATGCTGTAGTGGATGCATTCATTCATTCACAAAGGTATATCCCTCGACTGGAAGGCGTCAGTGCATATTCAGCAAGAACCACAAGCTATCTGCATGGAGGATGGACCTCCCAAACCAACCTCTACAGCATGAAAATGTCTCAACTAGGATTTGCTCAGGAGACCCCACAGAGCGACAAGTTTTTCCTTCCTGATGAAAAGACCGCAACAAGCGACTATGGGCAGCAGATATGATCATGGACGGAGGGATTCGGCATCTCCACACTGTCACAGCCGTGTCCAAAAAATTTGTCGTTGGACAGGTGTGCATAATTGCATGTCCTGGCATTCGGGGAGTAGGGGAGGAGAGAAGGAAGGGATTGGGGTGGGGCCGAGGTGGAGGGGTATTCCGGGACACAGGGTTCCAAGGCCAGCACAATCCAGGCTGAATTCTACATTCGCCTCGACCACACCCATTCTTCCACTACATTGGTCTCCAGGAATACCACACCCTTGCCCCTACAAGGCCACGACCGGCAGCCCCCGCCCAGGCGGCGCAGCCACCGCCGATCCGGCCCCCCCGCGGCCCCACCTGCGTCTGGTGGTCCACACAGTGCGCGTTGGTCAGTATCCTCCTCCCGGGGATCGCGAACCCGCTGCCGCTGCTCGAGTACTGCCGCTTCCTCTGCCACGGCAGTGAGAAGTTCGGCTCCGTGTGGATGCAGAACACCTTGACGATCGCGTCCAGCAGCGGGTCGTCCCCCAGCCGCCCCCGCGCCGCATCCCTGGGCGCCAGGGATGGCTCGGGGCTGAGTTCGCCGGGGCCGCTGGGCAATCGCCGCGGATTCTTGCCCCGCGGTCGGGAGGGGGGGCCGTCTTCCGGCGATGGGGCCCGGGCCTCTCGCGCCCGGCGGCGGGTGAGCATGCGGGTGGGGGGGTCGGCGGGCTGGCCGCTGGCGCGGGTGCCCACGGTGTCGGGCTTGTCCACGGCCACACCGGCGGCCTTCTTGCGCTTGAGGGCCATGCACCCCGCGGGGATCGGCGCCCCTGGGGGTGGATGGGGGGCGGGAGCCGGCTGAGAGGCAGGGGGGGTGGGAGGTGGGTGGGGAGAAGGGGGGTGGACGGGGTGGGGCGGGAGGAGGCGGGTTAGGTGCGCGGAGCACCGGTGTGGAGGCGAGGGTTGGGGGCGGTCTGGAGCTGGGGGTGGGGGTTTTAGGGGTGTGCAGGGCGGCTAGGGGGTGTGTGGGATGCACAGGGGCCAGTGCATCGTGTTCTTGGCTACTAGCGTCCTGTTCTCTGCTTCGTGTGTATTGTTTGTGTGGAATCCGGGGCTTGCATTTTTTGTCAATTACAATCCGGGACTAGCATTTGTTTGTTTGTTTGCTCTTTACGTGGGTGCGTCGACGTCACGGCATTGACCAATGTTTTGTGTGCGTAGATCTTGTCATTTACCTCGCGCAGGTGTCATGGAGTGCGGGGTCGGTGTGAACTGAGTGTGGAGAGTGCGCACAACCTCTTCTTGTCTTTTTCTTATTGTTTGTGTATTTTTTACAGTTTATCTCCGTTTCTGTCTGATTTATCGTTCGTCTAGCTTTGGATTCGTCAGTAACCATAAAAGGTAACCGCAGTGCATGTTCTTGGCAATAGCGACAAGGCAATAGTCCATCGCGAGATACTGGCAGACCATCACATCTAAGTGCGTTTGGCTTCTTGCTCCAAACATGGATCTTTGAGTTTACGCCTCCTCTAGGATGATTTTGGACGAAAGTGGAAGTTGCATGAAGGCGCATGGGCACATCGGCAATGCTTCTAAGCAAATGTGTGCTCTTGAACACACCAAACAGAGAGCCCAATCCTAGCCATTTTCATGCTGACTTACCTTGCTAATTTACCTTATTGATTGCTGTTGTGCTTGCCAGGGTAAATTGTGGACATTGGGGATCCTGCCACTCACTCCCATGGCAACAGTTGCGTTTAAGGCATGGTTAGGATAATGCTAATTGGCTTAGCTCCAGCACCAGGCATGTTTCCAGTATGCTGATTTCAGCATATTAAGTTTTGTGTTACAAAATGCTGCACCACAGTTCAACTTTGTTGTGCAGTGCTTTGGAGATTTGGATGAAATGGGCAGTAGTCTGCCAGTGTCCCTTCTCCAACCTAATCCTACCCTCCAGCCCATCACGATGCTTTGCTTGAGGTACGTATCTCCAAAGCCAAATCTGTATTGAATGCAGCACTCCCGTTCGTCCCTTTGTCGACAACGAGCTTTCAAGACACCTGCAACCAAGCAGTATTCCACCTTGGCCAAAAGGTATCCCCAGGAACTTTGGATCTGATCGAGTGAACCGAACACCACGTGCTATCGCTCCGTACCATAAGAAACACTATCCAAGGAGAGATGAGCCTACCAGCATTGTGCATGTGCGCAATCAATATGGTAGGCATCGCCATTTATGGGCACGAGGTCAGATCGACACGATGGGTCTGAAACTGACCACCACAAACAGACACGATGAAATTCTGCCCACCACACATTTGTTGACATCATCTGCAGATGCCTGTGGCACAGCACAGGCATTGCTGCACCCTGTTTTCCTCTTGTTAGGCTTTTTCCTGCATCATCTTACAGGGCAACAGAGAGTTAGCCAGCCAGCGCTTTGGTATGTTCTGTTACGAGTGGGAATTCTGGATCAGCAGAACTTCATGGTGGGCAACACAACTGCCCATCGCTCTGCAGACGCAAGGGTGTGCTTCCATGTGGCAAAAATTGTCCACCATGGCAGGTTTTGTGTTCGACGCTTATGGGGATCGTCTTTCAAACAATCTGCCTGCAGATTTATACCCCACAGCGCCCTGCAGGTGCAAATGTTGTATTAGTCACATGTTGACAAATGTTCTCGGAGGATCTAACATGCAGCAGAGTCATCATCCCCTTCTTGAAGAAAGAGGAGCCCAAAACATGGTTCCTTTACCTTGCAAGCACAGAATTTTCTGATCGTTGTTTTGACCTATTGTGTCACAAGAAATGCAAGACCCCTGTCACCAGATTGGCAATGTTGGGCAGCACCATTCAATGGCACACACGCACAACTGACTCTTGTGCTGTGTCTCACACTGCCCATGGTGCAAACCAGCTGGCATCATCTTCACACGGTCCAATGGGGTTGCTGCACATGATCGCCACACAACATCAAGTGATACTGATATTTTCTGCGATTTGATCATGAATAAGTTGTCTGAAAATGGATGGAGAAACTGGCGCACCACACTCGAAGGTCTGTTGTTACCAATGGTGCTGTGCACAACGCCCAGTGCGCAGCGGGCGTTGCACACAGCACTTTTCACAGCGCCAGGACTTTATGTGCATAAAGCATTTGCTGCAGCGCTCGAGCATCCCAACTGCGCCCGACCCCCACGCTCCAGCGTCTCCTCCGCACTCAACATCCACCCCTTGTTCCAAAAAAGCTGGTTGCTTCGAAGGGGCAAATTTGCTCTTCTTTTCAGTTTTCGGCGCACTCAATCAGTGCATTGAAACTACAAAATGGACCCACAAGCGCGACGCACAGATGCCCCCATCACCCAATCAACACCGCATATGCCAACCACTACCCGCATTGTCTTTCTGGTCCCTGTCGTGGACACTGTGGGGCTCAGGATTCTCTGGGCCTGGTGTGGATCGTGTGCTTTCCTCTTCATGCTGCTGGACTTGGCTTTTGCTAGGTTCCTGGGCAATTCTTTTTAGGTTGCTCTGCAGCCCGCAAGGTGCCTGATGCAGCCTCCTTGCTCCCAGGCCCGATCGCACTTTGCACAAAAGTTCCAACATCTGTCCCACACTGTCCTTCCACGGTCCACACAGCCCACCCGCACCAGCCCCCTTGCATTGTGCCGGAGCGCCTGTCCCCACCCACCCAACCACCCACGCCCCCAACTCAAATCAACTCGACTTGCTTTCTTTTTCTTTCATCCCCATCATCGTTGTTCGCTGGCCGGCTCTTCACTTGGCGGCGGCGGCTGACTGGGAGCTGGACCCGCTGGACCCTGGCGTCGTGAGCACGCCCAGCTGCTGGTTCTCCAACTCCATTGCCTGCTGCTCCTTGTCCACCTGTGCGCCAAGACACGCAACTGCATCACCCCACGCCTCGTGAAGAAAAACAACCTGCGCAGATGGTCCCCGCCCAAAGGCACTGCACCGTGTGATCAGCATTTCGCATCGGAGGCTCTATATCATCTTTCAACGGCGTGGCAAACAGTCTCGCGTACACTTGCTTGGGAGGGGGTGCCCTTTGCATACCCTGTTTCTTTCTTTCTTTCTTTCTTTGCCACCTTTTTTGAAAAAATCCTACCCTCCCAAAGGCAAAGGCCCATCCCGCACACCACCAAAGGAAAACGTCTTGCACAGATTCTGCCTTGCGAAAGTTATGCTCTGGGAAGGGAGGGCGCCGGTTGATTTGAAACTGAAGTGAAATGGATTGTAATTGAGTTGAAACGGAAGGGGGAAGGCGCCCACCTCGACGATGACGGGCATGACGACGATCAGGAAGGTCGTGCCGAAGATCCAGGCCGCCTTGCCGGTGGAGAGGAACAGGCGGCGGGCGAAGTAGCAGGCGTCGGAGAGCGCCTTCTTGACGGTGTAGCCCGCCATGGGAGAGGCCGGCGTGCGCCCTGTTGGAGGAGCGCGCAGGCGGGGAAAGCAAGGCAAGGGTGTGGGACTGAAGCGTCAAGAATGGGATGTAGAAATGCCACTCAGCCGGTTTGCAGTACTTCCGATCTCTTTTTTCATGAGGTGTGTTTGGGCCTTGGGCTATTGTACATTGGTTGCCCTCAGCGGCTGAGAAAAAGTGGGACAAACACTATGGACACACCGCGGATGGGGCGTGAATGTGTGGTCGATGTCTTTGTATCAAAAGGGGTCCCAATTTTAACGGAAGACTCCCTCCAGTCTCCTTTTCAGCGGGTAATTTGGGCCTGGGGTTCGGGCCAGGCGAATTGCTGTCATTATGACAGCGTCATAGTGGTTCGCGTTGCCTGAACCCTAAGTTTGGGGTTAACCCAAATTCTCCACTGGCAGTCAAGTCTGGTTCTGAAGATAGCACACTTTCAAGGTTTTTGGCGTATCGACAAGGATGCAGATTTGGCTTACCTACGGTCCTCATCCTTGTCGAGCTGCAAGCGAACACATGCAACATATCTGGCAGACTGTGGTGAAGCTGCTGGAGAACGTGGACAAGGATCATCCTGTCCACCCTTTCAGGACAAGTTAGTACAAGTAAGCGCTGTGAAGTACTGAAACTTCTTCAACTTTTCCCAAAACGATGAGGAATGGGCGACTGGACCCTAACAAAATGCACAAGGCGATGCTCATGCCGCACGAGAAAATTGCTCAATTGAGGCGAAGAGGTGTTGGCAGTTCTGCACCACCTAGGCATTGGTCGATTTTGGCTGACGAGTGTTGCGACTTATGCCTGATTGGGGACAATCCTCGTGAAGAGTCCAAGGGTTCTCTTTGTTTTGCCAGGCCTTTACATGTCTCGCTGGAATCTAGAGTGCGTTGATGACATTTCAATGCAAATAACCACATATGAAGTCCAGTTCAAAGAACCTGTAATCGAATATTGGTAAACCATCGTCGGAATCGAGTGGTGCTTGAGGACTGGAGAATCGAAATCATCAGTGTGAGGACGAGGGGAATAGGCAAGTGGTTATAAAGGAAATCCTGCTGAATATGGTGTGGCTGGACACATTGAACACGGTGTTAGATATGGTGAAATGAGTATGGAGATGGTGTGTTCGCTAAGAGCATTTGCAAAAGAAATATAAAGACGCGGCACCCAATTCAATGTTGTATATGAGCTGACCGTGTGCTCTGTCTTCCATAATAATTGACTATATACTTGAAGTACATTATAGTGTACCGGCCTGTCCCTTGCACCTGAAGTGTGCGTTTCCGCGCTTGCGACAGCCTCGCATCAATTCGCTTGGCCGCGGCCCAAGCAACAACGTCGGTCGACCAGCCCCGCAATTCACCCACACCCGCACCGCAACACCCCGCCAATCCACGAGAGTATATTCGTCCCTCCGTCTTGTCCGTGAGGATCCCTTCCTCTTCCGCTGACAAGGCCAGCGTGGGTCAGTGGTTTAGTGGTTTAGGGTTCAGGGTGTCGATACAAGAAGGGATGTTCACGGAAAAGACAGACCAATTTCATGCCCTAATCCTCACCCAGCACCCACGTCGCACATGCAAACAATGCACACACAGGATCAATCGATGTTGATTGCCCCGTCGTCGCACACCGGCGCCCACATGCAGCGCGGACACCGCGGCCCAGGCGGTCCAGGGCAGCCGCGGGGCGCGTGATAAGCACCCTGCCGGCTCGTTGCCTCGCACAGGCCAGCCCGCGGGGTCCTTGGTTGCGCTCCGCCGGCCCCCCACCCACCCACCCACCCCCTTGCTTTTCCCATCGGTGTCAGAGCGCCAAAATGCCCAAGGTGCAGCCGCCCGAGCTGAAGAAGTTCATGGACAAGAAGCTGAGCAGTGAGTGGCCAGCGCCGCGCGATGCGGGTCCGTGTCTGTTCTGTGGCGGCGCCCCGGTTTCGAAGGGGCCTTGGCGCTGCGTGAGGGGCTGTTTGGCCCTGATCAGATCACCTTAAAACGTCCGGCAAGTGGCGTCGATCGGTTGCTTCGGTGGTGGTGGTGGGTGGTGGTGCGCAAGCGGGGCAGCGGAGAGGGTTGCGCGACTGGGGTTGTCAGTCTTATGCCCAACTGGTCTCGGGTTTGGGGAACGCATTAGTTTTGGGCTGTGGGCGGAGTCCTGATCTGGCGCCCAGCGAGGCGCCGGGGGGGTTGCGCACGGGTAGGGGGCCTCCGCCAATTGCATTCGATCTGGGGCATTGGCCGCGCGAGGTGGGGCCGGCGATCAGAGGCGTAGGGCGCCAGGCGGTGCTATCCAGAACTGCACCCACCACGTTTGAATCCGCGGTCTGGAAGGCTGCGCCGCGGAATGATTGTTTGCGGAATTGTTGATGGGATCTGAACGTCGCGTTGCCCGCGGGAAAAGGCCTTTGAGCCTTTGAGCGCCGCTCCGGCGCTGGCGGAGCGAATGGCAGCTGGAGGGTTGTGTCAAAGCGGAAACAGGAAGCCCGCGGGCTCGTCTTTGTCCACCTCTCCAAATGCTGAGGCGACGGATTTTCTTCCCAAACACTTGTTGGTGCAGAAACCCGCATTGTCAGTTTGTCCTGGGATGACGAATGCGAGGAGGGACGAAAGCATTGTTGTTGCGCCCAGGAGGCGACGTGGGGCGCGGTTTCCCTCCACCAGCGTTCGCGATCTTGGAGCGCTGCTTTCCCGCTGTCGACTGCTCCTCTTGTCCACGCCCTTCAGCGTGCAGACAAGCTGCTTGCGTTCTAGGAACGTGACAGGGCATCCCTGGCACATGCAAGGCGTTTTCGGGCGTATGGCTGAGCCCCAAAAGTCCAGATCGCGACCTAAATCAGCGCCCAGAGCACTTTAGTGTGCTGAAGTGCTGGTCAATGATGGTTGTCCTTTCTAGATTGTGAAATGCTACATTCCGTTTAAGATCAGGGACGCGGTTGTTGTGGCTAGGTTTTGTGATCGCCTCAGTTGTACCTTGTGTGCATTCCTTGCAGTTTGCTGACCACAGTTGTTCCACATTACAGTACACTGATTCAATTTTCCATGTCTTCCCACATTTCATGGGGCTGTGTCAGCCACTGGATCTGATGATGTGGTCTGCTTTCCTCAGTCACGCTCAACGGCAACCGGCACGTTACTGGGGTGCTACGGGGATTCGACCAGTTCATGAACCTGGTGTTGGATCAGACTGTGGATGAAAAGATGAAGGTGGACATTGGGATGGTGGTGAGTACAAGAGCCCCGCGGGACATTTTGTGAGTTTCTGCTGACTGGGGTTTGTCCATTGCAAGCTGGAAATGCATTCTGCTGCACCTTGCAGGCGATGGACGCAGCAACGTCCAACCAATGACACGTCTTAATTACATCAGCCTGTTCATTGCCTCGGCCATTTGTTGCGTGGCTGCATCGTCCGGAACAGCCGCTGCCTTGCATTTCAGAGGATGACGTGCACTGGTACCTCCACAACCTTAGTTCAGTCACTTGGGTTTGTTAAACCACATTGCTTCCGAGCCATCATGGGCATGTGGGGGATGTGCAGCGTGGGGAGGGGTTTCTGTGTGGCATTGCACAAACAATGAGATAGGATTATTAACACTGGTCTGGAGTTCACGTCCATCACCGCCTAAAAGGTGCAAGAGCAGTGTTTTTTGTCATGTTTCTGTGACACATGTAACCAAAGGATTTGAACAGCAGCTATCTGTTGTGTGTGACCAGGTTGTCAGGGGAAACAGCATTGCCACGATTGAAGTCGTGGTTTAATGAGTTCATGCGAAACTGCAGCAGATCGGGTCGCCGCTGCTGTGCCCCGGCTCGGCTCAAAAGCCTTGAGGGCAGCCGATTCAGGGCTCTGTTCACAATTCGCGCTACCAACAGGGCGCGCTTGGGATGGGCCCCAGAGAGAGGAGGGGCAGAGCTGTGCCGGACAGTGCCAGGCAGACATCTGGCAGGATGCAGCAGTGGTAGTCGCTGTTTTTCTCTTCAAACATTTAATGCATGCTCGATGGACAATGTGCACCAGAGTGGTGGCTGATGGTGCCACACCAGCGAAGTGGGCACTGTAATTGAATGGATGGAACCTAATGGAGCAGAATACGTGGCAGGGAGGTTGTCGTTGGCTGCGCAGTTGCCTTGTTGTTTAAGTTATATTTCATGCGCATACACGTGCTGTTGAGCACATGGGGTACAGTATCGTAGATCATGGAGGATAGCACGGGGGGTGTTGAATAGTGCACGGGCCTTTAGACAATGCCCCCGGTGTTATCAAACGTGGCCGGTATTGCGGGGGGTCGGGGTGTGTGCAAGATAGCGTGGGGGGGCACTATTCACTTCAATATCATGCGCATCCACAATGCAAAAGCGTTTTCACGCATTCTTACATCCCATTGCATGTGCTATCGCCCAATGTTGGCAAATCCACTCCAACTAAACGTTGCCATGACATTTCTCCTTCAATCAAACACCATGGCCTCAATCAAACACCATGGACATTCCTCCTTCAATCAAACACCTCGCCTGCGGATTTATCAAAACTAACCATCAAACAAGCAAGACACAAGGGACAAGTCCTGACCCCATCCCTTTCGAAAGGGATGCCGCAAAATCGTGGCCGAAACATGGCCAGACCCACCCGGGTAGCAAAGGCAGAGTCTGTAAAAGATTCGCCCGTCCCCTACCCCAGAGCGGTTGAAGAGAGCGACAAAAGGCGGCGGGATTGGGTCGCTTTGCATGCATGTTGCTGGAAAATCGGCCACAGAAACATAAGCAAATCTGCCTGCTGGCTATGCACGGCCAGGCGCATGCAGTCCAAAAGGACATGGACAGAAGCGCTGACAGAAAGCGCATCGATTCTCACAGATTGACCCAGACACCCAACCAGCCCTAGCGATGAGCATGCCGTGGGTGCATCGCGCCAAAACCCGGACGTTTGGGACCGAAAACCGCTGGCTTTGAAGCCAAACTGGTCGGGCTATGCGCCAGGACCTGTGCGCAAA